ATACCTTAAAAGAGCAGCTGACAGCCGTTCCACTGCTGATGTACCCAGACCTCAGCAAGCCCATGGTGCTATACACGGATGCCAGTGAGCAGTGTGTAGGAGCAGTTCTCATCCAGCCATGTCCCGATAAAGAAGGACCAGTGCCAGGCATACCAGAGGAAGTGCCGATATTCTTTCTCTCTCATAAGCTCTCAGAGAGACAACAGAGATGGCCAGTAATAGAAAGAGAAGCATATGCTATCATGTATGCTCTCCAAAAACTGGGCTACTACTTGAATGGTGCGGTCTTTACTATAAAGACAGACCACGGGCCCCTGCTGTACCTTTACAAGCAGAGTGGACAAATGATAAGATTCAACAGTGGGCTCTAAAGTTAAGTGGCTACTGTAAGATAGAGTATTTGGCAGGGAAAGAAAATACCTGTGCAGATTTACTCTCAAGAATGCTGAAACAACTAGAAGAAAGATCTATAAAAGTAGAGCAGGGAGTAGATGACAAAGCTTATAGAATTGGAGTAATTAACTCCAATAAGTTAAAAGATCGCCCTATGTTAGAATCGGACAAGGAAGAGGATGCACAGATAATGACCCATCCTTACTGGACAGAAGGAATTGAGAAGGAGCAGGCAGGCAGTGAGATAGCTGCGCTTAGAGAAAAGGTGGAGGCAGGAAAGACCACCAAGTATGCAATAATAGAGGAAAGGCTGTATTATCTCTCAGGTAGAGATGAGGAAGTCAAAGCCAAGTTGTATGTGCCCAAAAGTTTGAGACCAGAGATATTGGAACAGTGCCACAAGAGGTTGGGGCACATGCGAATTGATAGAACATATGACCTAATAGGGAGAAAGTACTATTGGCCCAAATTGTATGGAGAGGTCACTAATTATGTTCGGAGTTGTGTAGTCTGCCAGTTGCAGAGTAGAAGGCAGGAAATGGCACCATTAGAAGGGATGGATGTGCTGAGCTTCCTCTTCGAGAAAGTGAGTATGGATGTATCAGGACCATATGGGGAAACTGCACGAGGAAATAACTATATGTTTAGTTTTATTGATTGGCTGAGGCATTTGCAGTACCAGACAAGAAAGCTAAAACTGTAGTCGATTTGATAATAAGTGAAATCTTCCCTAGGTATGGCGCCCCTGTGCAACTTGTCACTGATAATGGCACAGAGAATATAAACAGCATAATGAGAGAAGTGCTGACAGGATTGAATATAGAACACATAAAAACATCTCCATATCACCCCCAAGGAAATGCTAAAGTGGAAAGGTTTTATAGAACCTTGGAAGATGTGTTAGCTAAACTGGCTTGAGAAAATACAGGAAATTGGGATCTGTACTTGACACAGGCACTGGCGGCCGTGAGGTTTATGATTAACGAAACCTCCAGATTTTATACATATACATTTTACATACTTTATGTTATTTGGCAGGGATGTGGTCGTGCCTGTCAATAAATTGTTGAAGCCCCGAAGAAAGTATATGGGGGAAGATCATCATCAGCTGTTGTTGGAACAACAGCATAAAATATTTGTACAGGCCAGAAGAAGAATAAAGAGGGCACAGAAGAGAAGAAATCAGAGAGTGAATGCTGAAAGAAAGGTAGTAGAATTGAAGGTTGGAGACCCTGTCTACTATAAAATTCACCTGAGAGAAGGAAGGACCAGAGATGGGAACAATACTACCGGATAGTAGAGCAGACAGTTCCAGTATCATATGTAATACGGGATCAAGTGGCAGGATGGGCAAGAAGGGTCCATGCCAATGATCTGAAGAAAGCTGAAATAGCTAATCTAGAAATGAGTGAGCCAAGGCCGAAGAAAGCAAAAACAATGAAGGTAACTCTAGTTAAACTGGAAGAAATAGAGACGGAAGAGGATTCCGAGGAAAATGAAGAAATAGATCGACTTAGCCATCTAGATGAAGCGATCAGAGTGACGGAGTTGGAATCAGTGCAGAGGAGACCCTGTAATGTCACCGTCTCGCCCTCATGTCCAAAAGGAAGGGAAAAGCGAGGAAATCCAGTCAAGCAGTCAAGGGTTCTAAAGGGAAACACCCTAAACAAGAAGAAGAGCTCCACGAGTGGGAGGAAGAGGATCAGATACCCCTTTCCCAGCTCAGAGAAAGTCTAAGAAACAAGGGAGATATAGATGATAAATCAAGAAGTAATGAAGAAGTCCAAGGCACAGACTCAAAGCAGAATGAAGAATCAGGAGAAAAGGAAAGGGAAGAAACACCACCTGAAGAGGAATTGAACACTTTGGTAACCAGACGTTGGAAGTGAGCTGGGTATCGAACCAGGAACAACCAGATTGACCGAGACACAGGCTGGTGGCAGCGACAAGGAGTCAACCCCAAAACGCTGGTGGAAGAAACCTTACAGCTTTGCGCTGCAACTCGGAGTTGACCACGGGCCGACAACGCATTGTCACATATTGGTGTCACAACCAGAGGACGTCACATATTGGCGCACTAAGTATTAATTCTAATTTTTTTTTATTGAGGAATTCCATAATTTTTCTTATTGTTAGGTTATTCCATATTTTTCTTTTGCATTGGAAAAAATTATACCATTAATTTAAATAATTTAATGTACTTTTTAATTTATATTTTATGAAGCCAGAATGTTGAACTATTAAATAAAAATGCTTTGCATTTTAGTTTCTGATTAATTTATTTACTCCTAAATAAAAAAAAAACTTAAGTTTAACATCCCCTAAATGTGCTGATTCAATAATTTTTTCAGAGGTTGTATAAATTTTGAGCAAATGTAGCTGGAAAAACAGAGAGAAAATATTGAAGATATGAACAAAAAAGCAAAAAAGTACCTCATAAATTATATTTTCGTCTAAGTTCAAAGTAATGAAAATTTTGGAAATAAATGAAATGGAATTTTTTAAAGATAAACATATAAAGATAATTTTTAAAAAATATTATAGTAGGTACTTCCTCAAAATTGCTAAAAAAAGAGCATAGCTTGATGAAAAAGATGCCAACCTTGCCGAAAACAAAATTTTATCGTCTAAATGCTTATGTTATTATTGAGAGAAAAGACCAAAGTTTTTTTAAACTATTTTTTAAAATTTTTCTTTCTTTTTAGAATATTCTAAATTTTGATTAAAAAATTCTTGTTTCTCTTTATATCAGCAGAACTAGTAAATAACAGACAATTTTTAGCACGATTTTTTGGTAGGACACATTAATTTGGAAAATCTTGCAAAAATATAAATAATTGTCGGATGTTAATGAAACTTTCAGGAACTATTCACAGATGATTGAAATTATTATAAATATGTTTTTTTTATTAAAGTCAAGAGAGAAATATTTTTTTAAATATTTATTACCCCCCCATAACTAATTTTAGTGATTACAATAGTTAAAAGCACAAGGCTTTGAGGAATGCCAATCATGTTTTTTTTGTTTTTAATTGGACCCCACCTACCAGAAAATGAACTCTGAATTGTAACAGACAAAACTCAATAAAACAAAGACATTATTTAATTTCAAATGCTTTTATTTGCTTTTAGTTGTTTTTATGAATATGGACAATATTTTCTGAAAGCAAAAAATTTTTTCGGTGAAAAATGAATTTTTAATACAATTATTTGTTATTTCTTAATTATAATAGATTTTTACATTTAAGTTTTTAAAATATTATAAAATTAGTTAAAAGCTGCATCGGGTTTCCTAAGTCTCCTTATGAGATAGATCTTTTTTTAGCACGTTGTAAATTGTATCATTTTGACTAATCAGAAGACCCGCAGTAATTAAAAAATGTGATTTTGTGTTTATAATCGGGCTGTAATTATAAAGTACGGAAGACCAACCAGAATACAGTTAAGTTGTGTTATTTGAGTTAAGCATTGTTCTCTGCTGTTACTTTTGTGAAACACGTGTGGAGAAGTTAATTTGATTTTTCAATTTCAACTGAGAAGGGTACTTACAAGTATCACTATCATCTTATGAAATTTATATGATCTTATTTTTATATTAATCTCAGTTATGACATTTTTCCATAAATGAAATATCAAAATTATTAATAAAATGAATGGAAATACAAATAACACAGTAAAATGTAATAAATGTACATAAAATTATAGTATTTTATGTACACTTCTGATAAAATTTCATAAGAAAGGTACCTATAAATTAATTAGATATCTTTCTTATGAAATTTAATGTTACTCTTAACAGTCTTATTTTAATTTCTTTAGAATATATTTTCCATAAAGCATTGTAAACGTAAAGGTGAAAGCTAAGAAAAAAAAAAAAAAAAAAATTAGAGCGCTGAAAGTTTTCCTTAAAAATAATGAGGTAAATAATTTGTTCACTTAAATATAAGTTATTTCACTTTTCTCCTTCTGTAGAACAAATTAACCTCACGGAATCCGTCAATAAGTCATTCATCACCTGTCAAGTGACACGAAAGTTTATGACATGCTTTGTTTTATTTTCAAATTACATCTTTTCGGCATAAAAGCTAAGTTAAGCTTGGGTCAAAATATTTTAAATAAACATTATAATTTCTGATTTTGTTAAAATAAGTTTTGAAAAAATGAAAATTGATATTTAAAAGAATTTCAAAATGAGATTTCCAATTTTTTTATAAAATGGAAAAAAATGGTCAATTTTGCTGATTAAAAAAAATTTTGGATGTGCTTAAAAAATGGAAAAAACTACCCCCAAAATAATTTGATCTTTCCTCTTAAAAATAACAAACATTTAGACAATAAAATTTTGTTTTCGTCAAGTTAGGCGTCTTTTTCATCATGCTATACTCTTTTTTTAGCGATCTCGTGGAGGTACCTATATAGTTTTATAAATAGAACATAAATTCTAATTCAAAATAATCTTACAAGGACAATGTAAGTAGATTTGTAGTTTTTCACCATAAGACATCAATTGAGTAGCAAGTTGTTTTTTGTAAATTCTTTTGTAGAAATTCACCCAGTAATTTCTTCTTATTAGCAAAGAAAAATATAACCAAAAAAAGTCAATGTACCTCAATTTTATTCAGCTGGCATTCTCTTGGACCATGTTGACAGGCAAATATCCAGCCTTTAGGTGTTTTAACCTCCTGAAAGAAAATCATTTTGCAGCTTGTAAATAGAATGACAGATCTCAACAGGTTAAGATAAAAGTGAATCATCAACTTATATTGAAAGTAGCATTTTCTTCTCATTCGGTGTGTATCAGAAATTAATATTTTCAAATACAAAATCTCATATTGGCATATTTGTAAATAATGAATGTTTAATATTTTTAAATAAAACTGAATGGCTTAATTTTTAAAGCAGAAATTTTACTATTTTTAAATGATTTTCAGAGTCATAAAGATTTTTATTGAAATTTGTTCATCTTTTTAAAATGCCAGTAAGTTATATCTGATAAATAAGAGTAAAGTTTTATTTATGGGTGTTTATGTTCTTTTGTTTCTCATTAAAGATACATGCACATATGTAAACCTTGCATAGTTATTAAAATCAAATCAATTAAGCCAGATAAAACTCAAAATGCTAGCATAAAAGATATCATTTGATTTTAGTGTTGTAAATTAATCCAATGATTTCTAGTAACTTCCATTAGAGTAAAAACATTTTATAAGGGATTCAGATTTATTAATCTATTTTTTTTTCATTCCTTTCAAAGAATGAACAATTGCAATATAATTTTGAGACACTTGTTATATCCTAGACTATGAAAATAAGAAATTATAAAATTCAACCACTGTCCTATGGAAAGTTAATTTTCATCTTCCTGGTGGTTGTAGCAAATTTTATGCATTTGCCTATGTAACTATTATGTATTCTGTGAACAACCTAAACAGTATGATGATATATTTAAGTCTGGCACCAAAACTGACTGATAATATAGATGATACTCACATAAGCATTTCCAAATGGAACCAATTCAATATGCATTAAAGAGCCAACTTTCTTGAAGGCTCTGTAGAACTCTCCCACAATGTACAATTGACAATCTGGGCACAAGCTTTCATAATACAAAGTAAAATTGACAAGCTCTGTCTGTTTGTTCCAACTGGCACATTGTTGCTCAACCTGAAAATATAAAGAGAATGTTAGTAAAAGAAGGAGTTAAACTATAAAATGCAAAAACTTCAAAACCAGGTAGAAATCTAGAAAACGAACATCTTCAAAATCATTAAAATGTCTAAATTTTTTGTTCAGCAACACATACAAGAAAGTTCTCTCACTAATAGATACTGATATTCAAAGAACTACAAAAGTGTTTGAAGTTTGATATATTTTATGTATGGCAAAAATGTTTTTTTTTATGAATAAAATTCAATGAATTTACTCATTTGATATCCATCATTTGATACTCATTTGATATCCCGTTTCACTGAAAGCAAGTTGATCAATTTTCAACTCTAAATTGTTTGTCCATTTAAAATACTATATTTATTAGAAAATATATTTTGTTTAAATACAGAATGAGTCATAAAAAATTACTTCAGATGGCCTTCATATTTTGGCTTATCTTTTTCAGACAGAAAGGAAAATTAGCTCTCACGATAGATTTCCATTTCAATTAAATTGTAGATGTATGTTTGCTTGTGCAAATGTATATTTTAATTCAATGACAGATTTAAAAATATAGTTTTTAAAAATTTAAAAACAAAACATACATACAAGCAAAGAGTTACATGGACATGAATCTATAATTATGTCTTTCTTTTCTTTCTCTTCACCTTTGATTTTATTGCTCAGCCTAGGGTATGGTTTGTACTAAGTACGAGGGGAAGTATTATTCCCATGTCTTATATCAAACTCGGTCAAATTATGTGTGTATGTATGTTAAATGGCATAAGCAAGATGCATATATATATATATATATATATATATATATACACACACACACATACACACACAACATACGTATATGCAGACAGAGAATCAGCTCTTTTATAACATAAGATTTAGGACTGCCTATTACAAGGGAGACCACTCCACGATAACATTTTGAAATTTAAATTTTTTTTTCATGATCAAAAGGGATTACATTTTCATATTTTAGCCTATTTTTCTCTTTTTTACAAAAATTTTGGCATGAACTGTAAAATTTAAATCAGAATAGAAAATCATTTTGAAACATTACAATCATTAAAAGGTGCCTCTCCAACAGAGCCTCCAAAGCAGGGGATGAATTCTTTAAACATATTTTCTGATAGAGTGGGTAGAATACTTTATTTCTTGTAATTTGGGTGGAGTTGTTATTTTAGCCTTATAACTTTTATAATTATCTTTAGAATGAGTAAAATATTATTTCAGTGATTCATTCCAATACTCATGTGTTGGTAAAATTAACTGAAATGTTTTTGTTGTAATTAGATTCCAAAAGAATGTATTATCATTCATCTGACTTATTTTATGTGCTGTGTCCCTTCACGATGTGAGTGATTATGGTTTACCACAATTTCCTATCCTTTGTAGCACTTAAAAATGTTTGTCTTTACTATCCCTCTCAATCCTTGTTCTTTCATTCATTTTATACAAACTCATTAGGTAGGTTACTTGCTGTTTCCCCTCTTGCCTTCAATATGCCCTGAGTGTCAAATTCTTCAAGCTATCCTTCCTCATTATGTATCCCAAAAATTTCAACTGTATCTTTATTATTGTAATTGCTCTTTTGTTTGAATTTTTTTAAAAATTTCCTTGTCTCCATCTATCCATGGTGTTCTCAGAATTCTTCTGTACAATCACATTTCTGTTGTTTCAAGTATTCACTTCATCTGTAAGGAAATTGTCTAACATTTACTACTATATAGGATGATTGGTATTACAGGAGTTCAGTATTCTTTTCTTTGCTCCTAATGAAATTTTCCTGTTTCTTAATACTTTGTTTAACTTTTGGAAGGCATCTTTTGTTATTCCAATGTCTTCAGATTTCAGTGTCACATTTTGTCATGTTTCCCAAAAAGTTTAGGACTTGCTTGATTTTGACATCTTCAAATTGTAGCTTGCATTTGTATTGCTCTGATATCCTTCTGATCACAAATATTGCATTTTTTGTTCCATTCTAAAAAAAAAAAAAAAAAAAAAAAAAAACAACTGTTCTTGTCCTATTTTTGGTCAAATTTTGCTATTCATCAGAATCCAGATGATGAGTTTCATTATGTGGTTTATTAATCTAACTGTCCAATGGTCATTGCACCAGGCAGTACTACAAAGATAGATCTACTGAAGTCTTTCAGTATGCACCAACTGACATAGATTTCATTTATTTCTGTAATCATATCAATGCTGAAATTGTATAAGGCTGCTAGCATCTCTACCTGTTCCTCCTGCCTTATTTCTGTTCAACTTGTCCAATGTTAATCTTACCTCGGAACTTTAATATTTCAGGTCCTTCCATATTTTTGTGTATTGTAAGTTTCCCTCTTTTATCATGAAGGAGTTAACCATCATATTCATTCAATCTCTGGAGAATTCTTTTCTTTTTTATTATCAGTATTCCCCCTTTTGATTTTATACATCCTATTGATGAGCACATCATTTGCCATGTTATGCATACTTGACATATATATGATCTTCATTCTTTCTATCAATGTAAACTTTTTTTTCATTGAACCACTCTGCTTTTGTTTTATTGAAAAATGACAAATTTACAAAATTTAATTATTATTTGGCAAATTTAGCAAAACACAAATGATAGAGTGTTTAAAGTTTTGTCAACTTGAATTTAGTGATAAACTGACAACTGAAAGAAGTTTTTTCTGTCACAAGAAAAAGAAACCATGATCATCTCACCTGTTTCACTGTGCCATAGATTAAGGTTACAGTTCACTTTATTTTTCCATATTTTTGTTTTTATAAACTTTTGCTTATATAGTTTTTATTTATATTAACAATGTCTTTACTTAAAACTAAGAAAATACAAGCAGTTTATACAAGTAAGCAGTTTGAATTTAGTTAACATTAAAAGACACTGATAGCTAAGACTTCAAAGGAAAATACTTTTATGTCATTTGAAAATTGTTCTTCCAATTTTTCAAATAATATAAAATACCTCACAAATGTATTTTTTGTTTTTTATTAAACTATGATATACAGAAAAAAGCAATGCATATCTTCCTGGCCTCAGTTTAAACTGATACCCACTTTGCTTAAAGTTCATATATTCTTGATTTAATTATAGTTTACATATATAGGATGGAGGAGTCATCAGTTTAAACTGATGCTAGAAGGATATGGGTTAATGGAAGGCAACATAATAATAAAGAGAAAACATTTCCAGTCATACATTTCCATTTTTACACAGATTAAAAGCATGCATTAACTTATTACAATAATTTCAAATTGTTTATCTTTTTGTATTTGAAGTATTTACATTTCTAAAAGAATGTTTTAATTATTGGAGAAAATCTATTTTTGTATGGCGATGTTTAGATTTGTCAATTTGAGACAAATCATTTTCTGCTGGAATCATCATGGCACGAGTAGTAAAAGTTTTAAATAAAAAGAAAAACATTTCAAATTTTGTAAAAATAACAGAAATAAACTGAATTTCAGGCATACTTTGAAAATACATGTCCAGATTTATTTATTATTTAATGTTTTTTAAAATGAAAAGATTTGAAGATTATATTTTTTTCCTGGTATGAAGTTGCCATATTAGAAAAATGAAATATTAAAATATTCCACTTGTTATAGTTAGTTGCTCATTTTAACAATCACAAATGCTTAATAGTTTGACTATATTTTGTTTCTTAATACTATAGAAAATATTTTAAATAAAATTTTAGTCATTTATATAATATATGAATGTTGATTTTTAAATATGTATTAAAAATAAAGTGTAAATATCCAACACATGAGTTATACAAGCAGTTAACCTCAAACATTAATAACAAGGATTTAAAAAATTATTTCCAAAACAGTATGAAAGGTATAAATTCATATTTTCTCTCACCATCTATGAGTTAAATAGTGGGACTTGTATCAGGAAAAATTATTGAGATTCTCAAAAAAAATTGTTAATACAATATTCGCTTGCAAAAAATGAATTATTCTTACAATCCAAAAATATATTTTGGCTTTAAATAACTCAGTGTTGATAAGCTGCAAAAAAATAAATCAATCTTTTCAGTGAATTTAAAAGCTTTTTTTGATCATTTCACTAATTATCAAATATTGTTAGTATTCTCCTTGGATATAGGAAAAAACGTTTATAGTATCTTTTTTTGGATATAATATCTACTACAAAAAGTGCATCTTGCAGAAATTATAGATATGAAGCTTGATAGCAGAATATACGCTATTTGTTTGGCCAGGGAGGAGGAGAGGTTTTTGTATACTTTTTGGGGGTTGCTCAGAATAACTTGAAGGAAAAAAGGTCATTTCTGCTTTGGATTGAGGAATAAGAGCCGAGTTCGAATTCCAGTTGAATCCATTACATTCACTTACATGCTAATACCCTTGGGAAAAGTATGAATCCTCTTCTTACACCTACCTATGGATAAATAGCAAAACAGACTGGGTTCTATAGCCTTGGATAGCAACCGGTCTACTGCAGAAAGAAATGGCAACCTACTGTGGGAAAAAATCTTTGTCAGAAAAGATACATGATTGCCTAAGCATGTATCATTCATGGCACATAACTGATTGATCCACAAATTTATTTCATATATTTTGTTACATATAGATGTTTTTAAAATTTTGTATTATTTGTTTTCATTTTGTGGCTCCAATCCAGTTCAGTTGTATAATTAGGGATTTTGTTCCAATTTTGTAACATTGCTATATTGTTATCATGAATCCTTCCTGTGGGGCATATACCATTCTTTTTGCTTATTAAAAAAACATTTTTCAATTACAACCCATTGACATATCATGCCTAGTACTAACATAATTTGTATTAACACAAATGTAATAAATAATTTTCTTAGTATTTATTACTAGCAGCATGGTCCGGTGTTGCCCGTGCTTGATTCAAAAATCATACGACTCATAGAGCAATCACTATCACTTGACTTAAAATATTTTTGCCCTTGCTTGCCTTTAAAGGAGTGCCCTTTGCTGTGCTGATGTTGCTACAT